CAGAAAATCAAAAATCACAAGGCTAGTTGAGTCCCAACTAGAATGTACCTTGTCCATTCAGCTAGCAATTGCATTTAGTTAATATTTTAATTTTTTTGTATAAATAATTATGTCACCTTCCATTTCTGTCTGAATGCCTTTTATTTGTTTTTATTGCCTAATTGCCCTAGCTGGAGCCTCTTGTAGAATGTTGAATAGAAGTGGCGAAGACAGACATCCTTTTCTTGTTTCTGATTTTAGGAGAAATGCATTTAGCCTTTCAAAACAAATATGTTGGCTGTGGGGTTTATCATTTTGTGAAAGTTTCTTTTTATGCCTGGTCTGTTGCCTATTTTTAAAATAAAAAGGTGTTGATTTTTGTCAAAATTTTTTTTATCAACCTATTGAAAGGGATGTGTGGTTTTATCTTTTATTCTATTGGTATGGTATGTTACAATAAGTATCTTTGGGGATATTAATACAACCTTGCCTTCCTGGGATGAATCCCACTCAATACATAATAGTTTGTAATTGTTTCATCTTCATTTATTGAGGTCTGTTTTCTAAAATGTTTCTCTATCTCTAGGAACATTTGTTATCTTAAATGATATTTTATCAGTTATTTATAAGATGACTTTTTTTCAGACTATTTGCTTGTTCTTACCTATCCTTTTACCTTCAATCTATTTGTGTCTTCGAACCTAAAAATGTGTCTCCTGTAGACATATAGGCTCATTTTACTTGCTAATGCTGGATATTTTATACACTACCTTTTAGAAGTTCTTGTTCCTCATTTCTGCTCCTTTCCAGTCTCTAGAATTGCTAAGAGTTGATTGTTTGCTTCTTGATTTGTTCAGCAACTCGGAGAGACTATTTTGGTAAAGTCTATTTTCAAATTTACCACTTTGCAGCCCCTATGGTTTTGGGAACGTTCAGAATCCCACTACGTCCCTCTTTCTCCCCCAGGATGACAGAAACTTTAGCAGGTTTCTCTTTGACTCTTTTCCTTCACTCACCCTCTGTTAAGGTTCTAGCTGGGTCTGTTGTCTGCACTGATATACTACTCAGCTATCAGCCTCCAGCAGTTGCTGGCTGAATGGTCTATTGTTTTTAACAATGCATTGGCTCATAAATTGTTATAGTACAGACTGGTCCAATTAAAGTCAGGTCCCTTTCTAGGGTAGTTTTTGAGGCCAATCTTTGAGACTTGCTCTGACCTCAGGAGGATCTTGTCAGCTGTCTCTCTCCATGGTTCTTCTGTTCATCTATTTGGTCTGCCCTTTTATTTGTTGCTATCATGGAGCTATTAGCTCTTTTCCATTGCTCACAAGCTAATTATCCATTATGTTTTGACAGTGCCCATTGGGTTGAACTTCTCTATCCTTTGTTACAAATCAGGTTAGTGTCCCTAACGACAGCTATACTGTTCTCCAGTCCATGGGCTGCTTCCTCGCTTTAACAGACCTCTCTTTCTCTACTCTGGAGATGTCACATGGCAGCAATCTTCTTCTGTGTAAGTGCTTGCTTGATGAGCAGGGTGCTGGGCACTTGCAGTGGTCCTGAATCTTCTGTTTGTTCCTCTTGGTGTCAAAGCTTAGTCTGGGCGGGCGGCGCGGCTCACTAGGCTAATCCTCCGCCTTGCGGCGCCGGCACACCGGGTTCTAGTCCCAGTCAGGGCGCCAGATTCTGTCCCGGTTGCCCCTCTTCCAGGCCAGCTCTCTGCTGTGGCCCGGGAGTGCAGTGGAGAATGGCCCAAGTGCTTGGGCCCTGCACCCCATGGGAGACCAGGAGAAGCACCTGGCTCCTGCCATCAGATCATCAGATCAGCGTGGTGCGCTGGCCGCAGCGTGTCAGCTGCGGCGGCCATTGGAGGGTGAACCAACGGCAAAGGAAGACCTTTCTCTCTGTCTCTCTCTCACTGTCCACTCTGCCTGTCAACAACAACAACAACAACAACAACAACAACAACAACAAAAGCTTAGTCTGCTAAGCAAGCAAGGGTGAGAGTGATTGGAGTCCACTACTCCTGACTTGCTATGCCTTGGGTAGAACTCAACCCTATGATTGAGTCAGTATGGCAAAAGGGACCTCAGTCACATTTGCCTGTAATGGGGCTTTTACAGTGCATTCTGGGGGTGATACAGGACATGGTTTGGACATACATATGGAAAGCTGGACTTCAATGAGTAGAAACTGCAGCCCTACACTAGGATTAGAGGAAACCAGTCCTCTTGGCTCCACCCACCCAGTATACAGGTTTCCTCACTTTGAGCTGAGGGGTGGGGAGAGCAAACAGATCATGTCACAGACTCTTACAGGTCTTATAGATGTTTAGGACATTTGATTCATTTGTGGTGTGCCCTTAGTACAGTTTTCAGAGACTGAATGATTGCTTCTGTTTTCAGCAAGTAGATTGGTTTGTCTAGAGAGAGTCTGCGGAGCCCCTCATTGCTGTAGCTGTGGACTTCCTTATCCCTAGCTTCCTTTTGGCTCTCATTTCTGCCATCCTTAGTGCGTGCCACCCATGGAAGCTTCCATCTCTCACTCTGGGTGCTCTATTTTCTATTAAGAAAGCATTTTAGAAGGAATGTGCTCGTGGGATGATTATAGGTTTTAGCCCTTGTTTATACTCCTGTGGAACTGTGGTCTTCCTACTTTTTACTTGTTGAATGTTATGGCTAGTGGTGAATTCAACCTGTAATTGTAGAGTGGATTAAAATTATGTCTTTGCAAACATTAATGAAAAGGAAAGAAAGGAGGGAAGGAGGGTGTTTGTGTGAGAGAGGGGGAGGGAAGTATGGTTGTCTTCTTAGAACTGTACCTATGAAATACACAAAATCTGTTCTCTTTATATTAATACAAATTTATAAAAAGGAAAGAAAAAAAAGAAAGTGTTCAGACATCTGTGTGAGACATGCCACCAGTGGAAATGATGACAAGGATTGATGAGGTGATCAGCTGAACCTTAACCTTTACCCTGAGTTAGTGGGTTGCTGCTGAAATCAAGCTGTTCCACTACCTGCCCTATGTTGGTGTCACTTGTCTAACACTGATTTATTGTCAGGTAATATGTTGTCATATACTCACCATGATTGGAATCACAGAGCGGGAAAAGGGAACCTGGTGGATAGCATTTTTGTTCTACAGAAAACTGAGACTCAGACAGGGATCACTCAAAATAGAAGGCTTCCATTTCTTTCTTTCATTCTTTCTTTCTTTTTTTTTTGTTTGGTCAATCTTTCTACAGATCACCTTGGGAAAAAAGTTTTCCCATTTTATTTTAGAAGCAAAGTGAAAAATAAAAACAAATATGTAATTATATATTTGTTTATAAAAGATATTATAAATAAATTCTATTTTTAAAATATTTTTAAAATTTATTTGAAAGGCAGAGGTACAGAGAGAGAGAGAAGGTAAGAGAGAGAGAGAGAGGTCTTCCATCCTCTGGTTCACTCACCAAATGGTCAGACTGGCCGGAGCTAGGCTAGGCTAAAGCCAGGAACCAGGAGCTTCTTCTGGGTCTCCCTCATGGATGCAAGGGCCCAAGCACTTGGGCTATCCTCCACTGCTTTCCCAGGCATATGAGCAGGGAGCTGGATTGGAATGGAGCAGTCAGGACTCAAACTGGCACCCATATGGAATGCCAGTACTGAATGCAGAGGCTTAACTTTCTATGCCACAGCGCTGGTTTCAAGACATTTTCTATAACAAGGCAATTTAGGTATTCTTTTCTTTCTTTAGAGATTTATTTATTTATTTGAAAGTCAGAGTTATAGAGATAGAAGAGAGAGACAGAAGAGAGATCTTCCACCTGTTGATTCATTCCCCAGATGGCCGCAACACTGGGGCCATCTTCCACAGCTTTTCTCAGGCCGTTACTGGGGAGCTCAATCAGAAGTGGAGTAGTTGGGACCATATGGGATGCCAGCTTCACAGGTGGCAGCTTTACCTGATGTGCCACAATGCTGGGCCATCCTGTATTCTTTCCTGAGAAAAGTAATGGATCTAATCTATCTCAGGGTCCAACAGTAACAGAAGGAGGGGAAAAATCCATGTAAGTTTTTAATTCCATTGTCCTATGAATTTCCATATGCTATTAGTTCTTCTCAACAATTCCTCCTCAATTTTCCAATGTTCTTAGTTGAGTGTGTATGTGTGGATGGAACTAAAGGAACTAAGAGAAAGACACTAACACACTCTCTTACAGTCTGGTGTGGAAGAGGTGTTGAGGTCGTACATGAATTATTGATAATAATTCTCATTTTCTACCAAGTATTATTCATTATTGCAAAAGTGCTGTATTTCATCCTATTCTATAAGAAGAGTGGTTACAGTTAATGAAAACTAACATTTCTAATGTACCATTACATCCCAAACACTTGACTTGCTCTATCGTATTTATTGTTCCCTGTTTCAAATGAAGATTCTTTGGAAGGTGAGTGACTTGACCAAGGTCACTTGGCACATATAGAAGAAAAGATAGATTCATAAAGTTCATCTCAAAGTTGTTCTATAAATACTCTGTGACACTGTTTCTTTTGGACAATAACAAAATTTTGAATTCTCCACTTAAAAAGTTAAAATTTGGAGGCCTAATATGTGTGTATGGAATTTGTTCATTGGCTTCTTGATTTATCAAAACAAAAAATAAAGTTTCTTGGGAGTTGGCAAGTCAATCCTTCTGTGGATAACTGCTCACAGAATCTGGAAATATGTTATGTCAAGCTTTGCTGTCAATCTTGCTCCTTCCCCTCCCTATTCATTCATGGAGACAGTGTGACAGTTTGACAGAACAGCGTAGATTTAACTCTATTGTCTGACCTAATTACAAAAAAACTCTTCTTTCTCAAAAATGCCCTGGCTTGGTTGTTATTTAGAAGGTCACTAATCTTTTACTACTGACGATGTCAGAGGCATCATACAGAAGGTGTCCACTAGGTGTCAGCAGCGTAACCTCCGGAGAAGACTCAGCATTTCATTACAGAAGTCAAATCAGGGCAAATAATTAAGTGTGGCTCCTGAGCTACCTGCTGCCTTGGTCACTCAAAACAAGTGAGAGAGCAGGGGAGGAGAGAAGGAACAGGTGCAGGACAGGTAGCTCCTTCTGGGGTTCTGACAGAGAGGAAGGATCCCGCTCCTCAGTGCTGGGCTCCAGTGATAGATGGAATGAGCACTTGCAAGCTCTTTTTAATTTTCACTCACACGGCAAAACCAGGCTGCAATGAAGTGAAGAAACAGCTTTGAAAGAAGAGGTGATTTTCCCCATCAGGTTTCTCTTCAAGGGATGGCCACATAGAGGTCCTACAGACAGCTCTCTGGACTGCCGCCCATCCATTGAATGACTGCATTTGAACTCAGGAAGCTGAGTTGCCTGAACCCAAATTATTTAAAGAAGATTAGAAAGTGTCTACATGCAGAACTCAATAGCACATTCAGACTCCTCTTGGAATGACCCACGGACTGTGTGTGCATCGCCTCTGATACAGGTGGAAGCAACTGCTCTCTGGAAGTCCTTGCTTCTTCAGAAGTGTAGGTAGGAGAAGCCCATGAGCATGGGTTTTTGGCCATTTGATTCGTTTGGTTCTTGGATGCTGTTGCTGTTGCTAGTGGCCCTTGCATGCTCCAAAGCATCTTCTGATTTGAATAAATCCACAAATTCCACCACCCAGCATGGACCTAATGCTTGGTTTGCTGCTGCCAGCTCAGAGCCTGATGAGAGGATATCTGTTTTTGAGCTGGACTATGATTATGTGCAAATTCCTTACGAGGTCACCCTCTGGATACTGCTAGCATCTCTGGCAAAAATAGGTAAGTCCTCCAACACCTCATTTGGGGAGTTGTTTTCCATGTGAGATAACGTATGTGAAAATGCCTTAGAGGCAGTAAGCTAAGTGGGTTTTGATGGTTACTGCTATTTACACTCCAATTTCTCTTTCCCTGACTGTAGGGAAAGTCACCACAGCTTTTACAAAGCTCTCTAATGCTTCTGAACTGTGTTTTGGAATCTAAAAATGTCCTTCTGGGCCCTGGGTTGTTTGGATTCCTTCTTAGTTCAAGGTGACAGCCACGTGACATTATTGGTCATGTACAAGTCTTTAGTTCTGCGTGTTAAAATATCTAGAGCAAAGCACATAGTCCTCAGTGTCTGCACATTGGAGATTTTAGGACTGACACAATGATTTTTCCATGAAATATTCTTCCTGTAGTTTTTGCAAAGGGCTAGTGGGTTCATCAATGGTGCCCATTGTTTATTTTTTATAAGTGGCATGTGCTCCTTGCAAATTGCAGAAAACAAGGAGCAAGAGAACCACAGGCAACTCTCATGTCAGTCAGAAACGGGGTGCACGGGCAGATAAGATGATATCTGTCAGCAAAATATTGACTTACACCTATGCAAATGGAGCCAGTGGGGCACCTCTGGTTTCCATTGTAAAATAAAATGAAGCCAAGTGAATGGATTAAATTCCAGTCAAGGGTTCTTTGAGCCAACAACCAAATTAGTGGTTTACACTTTGTGACTGTTTAACTAATTCCACCTCCTTGACTCCTTAAAACCAGTGTATTCCCAAGTGTCAAATTGATACAATTATCTCAGTAAGCATAATGTTTCCTTTATCTCAGCCATAGGCTGTTATTTGAATTCATAGATTATCATATTGAGATAGAATCTCTAAAACTTTCTGATGCTCATATATATATATATAAACACATATTGTTATATATAAAAATTACATATAAAATTATATATATATATAGTTTTATCTAGAATGCATATACAATATGGGTTGAGTCCTGCAATCCAGCAGATATATTCTGTGGGCTCTGACCATCTAATGCCTTCTCCAAAGCTGTTGGGGGGTACCTGTGTACTCATTAAGTGATCCTTTCTAATTGCTGTTTATTTTGGGCTAGTAAAGTATCAAGATTGAATGAATGAGAATTGCTAGTTTGAAAATCTCTGTGATTTGTTAAATGCTTAATTTACACTAAGGATCTCACATTGTTTTTAAGGTGTATTAAGTAGAAATGGCTTTCCAAGGAAATGGCATATCGCACCCATACAATAGATGGCAATGACCATGTCCTTGACCTCAAAAGATTCAATGAATGGAGAAACAGATGAACCTAATAATGACAAGTAGGCACTGTGACAGAAAAACATTAAAACTTGCCCCAGCCCTTTTTAAAAAATCCAACTATTGATTTATAAAGTAAAGATATTATGGAACAAAGATAATGAAAAATTACCTCAGGTGTTGTGGTTTATCTTTTACTTCCATTTCATTTCTTGGAACATCACAGGAGAATGGTCCTGAATGGATGTATGAAGTCATCTTTGATTCAGTCAGGACTTTATTGTTTGCATCTGTTTAAGTTTCAAGGTGTAGAACTGTAGAATCATGAAGTGACTGACTGTATTATCCACGGTGAAAGGGGAGAGTCATTTTAACATGTGAAATGGATGTAGACTTTCCCTTTGGAGTGCCCTTATTTGTGGACACATAGCTTCTCCTGCTACATTTATAGGGTGCAAGTTGTTCCATTCAGGAGGCTTAATTCCTAGAAGCAAGGCCAAACTGAGACACACAAGGCCCAAGAGAATCACACCACATGCTCTTCCACCAAGTTGATCATTAAGGAAAGTTAGCTCATGCTAATGTGAGTACTGAAAGAAGAGGAAAAGGAGGAGGGAGAGGATGAAGAAGAGAAGGAAGGGGAAAGAGAAGGGGTGCCAAGGGGAGAAAGAGAAGGAGAAGGAAGCTGTCACTCAGAAATGGAGAATGCAGGACTCCAGAAGAAAGCTGGATAGAAAGGGAATAGAACTGGAGAGAGCCCTGTGATGACCCACTGAGCACTGGCCTCTTGCCATATTTGTTGGTGTATTCAGTATGCACTTCAGTGTACAAGGGTCTTCAAAAATCTGTGGAAAATGAATATTATGAAAAAAACTATGCATGGACATAAAATGCTTTTCTGTGCCCAAAATAAACTTATCTCTTAATTCTGCTTCCCACAGATGTTTTGGATTACCCTCATGCACTTGTATGTTATAATGTTTCTTAGCATGTTTGTTCATGTCATTTTATGAAATGTCAATAGCAAGAAAGGCAGTAACGTTTACAACTCTGGTTTTCCACCACCCAGTCCTCACTAATGGTTTGATCTTTCAACAGATACGTTCAACCAATATTCTGGGTTTAAAATCTGGCAGATAGTTTGTGTGCTTTCAAAGTCCTGTGTGGGACATGAGACAATCAGATACACACGTGTTGGAGCAGAATCACTTGGTAGTAAAGTGTGGAGTGGCCTGAAGACATGAGGATGAGATCGGAGGGCAGGAGGAAAATGCAATAACTAGGTTCAAAAATGGGAGACCCTAAATCAAAGCAACGGACATGGACTAGAAAGGAACAACTAATGAGAGTTGTTACTGAAGAAATTCTGTGTTGATGACATGAAGGGGCCGTGGTGATGGAATGTGGCTGATGAAAATGCAACAGGATTCCTCCTTTCAGTGAATGACCAGGAGGCGGGACCCCTGGGAAACAAAATAAGGGCTTTTAGGTGGTGTGTGTGTTGTTGGTAAGGAGGGGAACTGGGTAAGCGGGTAACAGGCTGAGTTCTAGGGGACCACGACAGACTCCACAAGAGGTGGAAGCTGGGATCCCTGTGAGTGTAGAAGCTTCACTCTTTTCTCAGCTTTCCTGTGCTGCCCTCTCGGGACCTTGGGAGGTGGGCGAGAAAGAGGAAGGAGGAAGAGGAGGAAAAGCGAGCTGTGAATGGCTCTGCAAGCAGCCCTGAGCTGGGCGTGTTCACTGCTCCGCGTGATTGACAGCCCCTGCAGCACTTCCGGCTCTTGCTACAGATGGCCTTCGAGATGCCAGCCCCCGTGCCCACCGTCCCATCCGCTGGAACGGTGTCCCGCATGCAGTTCATGAGCAAAGCATCTTTACAGAGTTCTCTGTTTTTCCCCAGGCTTCCATCTCTACCGCAGACTGCCTGGCCTCATGCCAGAAAGCTGTCTGCTCATCCTTGTGGGGGCCCTGGTGGGCGGCATCATCTTTGGCACCGACCACAAATCCCCTCCAGTCATGGATTCCAGCATCTACTTCCTGTACCTCCTTCCACCCATGGTGCTGGAGAGCGGCTACTTCATGCCCACCCGGCCTTTCTTTGAGAACATGGGCTCCATCTTGTGGTGGGCAGGCCCAGGGGCCCTGATCAACGCCTTTGGCATCGGCCTCTCCCTCTACCTCATCTGTCAGATTAAGGCCTTTGGCCTCAGCGATGTCAACCTCCTGCACAACCTACTATTTGGCAGCCTCATCTCGTCCGTGGACCCCGTGGCCGTGCTGGCCGTGTTCGAGGAGGCACGTGTGAATGAGCAACTCTACATGATGATCTTCGGGGAGACCCTTCTCAACGATGGCATTAGTGTGGTGAGAGGTCCATGGCAGTTCCCCAGGGGAGGGGGGGTGGGGGACGGGAGGCTGTCCTCAGGGCCGTGGAGGGGTCCTGAGTATGACCAGCTGCGGTGGAGCGCACACAGACAGCAGTCCGTGCCGTGGGGCCCAGGTTCCCTGTTCCGGTGACTTTCCCTGACACCTGCGTTGTGTATTGCACAGCTGACAAGCGCTGCTTGTCAATCATGAGCCAACCTGAGAACCTCATATTCTTTCCTTGTCTGTAGATTTGCAGTGAGCAAGCAGGAACCAGTGTTAATGGTTCTTTCTGGTTTCCATGCTAAAAGCAGTACAGGAACCAGTACTAAGGGTTCCTCCAGGTTTCCATGCTAAACGCAGTAGCAGACATTTTCATTTCTTCTCAGCCACCAGACCTCACTCTCATCCCCTTTTATACTTGTTTGTGTTTTAACATGAGGGTTTTTCAAAAAGTATATGGAAAATAGAACTAAAAGATCACTTTATTTTGCTGTGAGAAATTTTGAAAACCATGTATTTCAAGTCTTCACAAAGATCATTGAAATGCATTTCATGAAAATATGCCTAAATTTCAACACTTTTTTTGCACCAATGTCACCTTCTCTTTTAATTCTATTTTTCCATGAGCTTTTTTTTTTTTAAAAAAGATTGATTTATTTATTTGAAAGAATTATGGAGAGGTAGAGGGAGAGAGAGAGTTCTTCCATCTGCTGGTTTACTTCAAAAATGGTAGCAAGGGCTAGAGCTGGGCGGATTTGAAGCCAGAAGCCAGGAGCTTCTTGCATGTCTCCCTCATGGGTGCAGGGGCCCAAGGATTTGGGCCATCTTCCACTGCTTTCCCAGAGCAGAGAGCTGGATGAGAAGTGGAGCAGCTGAGACTCAATCCAGCGCCATATAGGATGTCGGCACTGTAGGCAGCGGCTTTAGCTGCTACACCACAGCACTGGCTCCTTCCATGAGCTTTTTAAAGTGTCCTTGTACATGCTGCCTTAGACGAAGCTAAACAGTTGCTAATGCTGTGGCGCAGTGGCTCAATCTGCTGCCAGCAATGCTAGCATGCCATCTGAGTGCCGCTTCCAGTCTGGCTGCTCCACTTCCAAGTCAGCTCTTTGCTAATATGTGTGCCTGGGAAAGCAGCAGGAAAAGAACCAAGTACTTTGGTCCCTTTTACCCATGTAGGAGACCCAGATGGAGTTTTCAGTCCTGGCCATTGCAGTCATTTGAGGAGTGGATCAGTGGATGATATCTCTCTTTCTTTTCTCCCTCCTCTTCTTTCTATAACTCTGCCTTTCAAATGCATAAATATTTTAAAGAAATGCAAAAATGTTTTTAAAAGACGTGAAGTTAAATAAAAGTTGGGGGTCAGGAGAAAGATGACAGATTTGCAAAAAAAATGTGTGATCTTCTATGTCGGTCCACTGCATGACTCATGGAAAAAGTGAATTAGGGATTTTTTTTTCTTGGGAATACTCTTGTGGGGAATTGAGCTGGAAGGTCTGATAGGCTAGATCATGGATTTCACTCTTTACATGGAATTAAGGCCAGTAGATATCTGTAGGATGGGGTGCTAACCAGTTCCATTAAATAATACAAACTTCTGTCATATACTTTTATGTAATTTTCTTAGTTTTATTTGTGTATCTATACCATATATTTTAAAATACTATATTTATTCATTTATTTGTAAATAAAAGAGACAGAGAAACAAGTGCAGATTTCTCATCTGTTGGTTCACTTCCTACATGTCCACATTACCTAAGGCTGGGCCAGGCCAAAGCCAGAAGCCAGAAACTCATTCTGGGTCTCCCTTGTGGATGCAGGGACCCAAGCACTTGGGCCATCTCCCACTGCTTTCCCAGGTGCAGTAGCAGGGAGCTGGAGGAAAACGGAACAGCCAGGACTTCAATACACACCCATATGGGATACCTGTGTCACAGGAGGCTGCTTTACTACTATGCCACAATGCTGGCCCCTATTTGTTTATTTCAAAGTCAGAGTTATACAGAGACCAAGAGAGACAGAGAGAGAGACAGACCTTCCAACCACTAGTTCACTCCCGAAATGACCACAACAGCTTGGGCTGGATCAGGATGAATCCAGGAGCCTCTTCCAGGTATCCCTAGCAGGTGACAGGGACCCAAGTGCTTGGACAATCCTCCACTGCTTTTCCAAGCACATTAGTAAGGAGCTAGTTGGTAAGTAGAACAGCCAGGGCTGGCACTAGCATCCATATGGGATGCCAGCATTGCAGACAGCAGCTGTACCTGCTACACCACAGCACCAGCCCCTGCTGTAGAACCTTGTAGCCTTTGATTCTTTTATAATGAAAATGCACTCTAGTCTTATTTGTATGCTGCAACATAAATTAAAAAAAATAAACAGGGGTTGATGTTGTGGTACAGAGAGTAAAGCCACTGCCTGCAATGCTGGCATCCCTTATAGGCACCGGGTCCAGCCCTGGCTGCTCCACTTACCATCTAGCCACCCCTCCCTCCCATTAAGCGCCTGGGAAAGCAGCAGAAGATGGCCCAAATATTTGGATCCCTACACCCATGAAAGAGACCCAGAAGAAGCTCCTGGCTCCTGGCTTTGGACCAGCCCAGCTCCAGCTGTTGTATCCATTTGGGGTGTAAACCAGTGGATGGAAGATTACTCTCGGTCTCTCTCTGTGTCTCTGTCTCTCTCTTTCTGACTCTGATTTTCAAATAAATCTTTTCATAAATAAAACTGTACGTCATAAAACACAAAAGCCTTCACTTGTCTTCTCCTCATTCTTTGTCATCCTAGCATTTTCCCTCTCAGTCTTTATTATGTGGATGTACATACATGTGTAGACATAGATGCATGTTTTACATAAATTGGGTGGACTGTATGCGCTGCTAAGATGAAACAAGTCTTGGTATTCTTTGTGTTTTTCATCTGCCACATAGTCTTCCATTGATTAATTTACTGTAATTTATTTTCTAACTTCTTGGTGGATAGTTATTTAGGTAGTTTTCACGATGTCACTCTTTTTTTTTAAATTTTTTTTTAATGCATTTTTTTTTTTTTTTTTGACAGGCAGAGTGGATAGTGAGAGAGAGAGACAGACAGAAAGGTCTTCCTTTGCCGTTGGTTCACCCTCCAATGGCCGCCGCGGCCGGCGCGCTGCGGCCGGCGCACCGCGCTGATCCGATGGCAGGAGCCAGGAGCCAGGTGCTTTTCCTGGTCTCCCATGGGGTGCAGGGCCCAAGCACCTGGGCCATCCTCCACTGCACTCCCTGGCCACAGCAGAGGGCTGGCCTGGAAGAGGGGCAACCGGGACAGAATCCGGCGCCCCAACCGGGGCTAGAACCCGGTGTGCCGGCGCCGCTAGGCGGAGGATTAGCCTAGTGAGCCGCGGCGCCGGCCACGATGTCACTCTTATAAATAAGGTTGTGGTGAACATTCTTGTTTCTGCTCGTGTAGTTTCAGAATGAGATTTCTGGATTAAACCGTATGTACCTATAAACATGTGAAGATGTGGCTGTTTAAATCACTTCCTCTTCACTCCCGGTGGTGAATGTGAAAGTCTCCCCCTAGGGTTGTGGAGGGAGACACCTAAACCCTGGGCGGGGGGATCGACACCAGTCCGTCACTCACATCAATCTACTGCACACCCTGCAGGGTCCCACTGAGGCTCCACCTGGGAACAGATGAACCAGCACCAGCTGAGCAGGGCAGGCTTTATAGTAACAAGAGGATGAGGTGAACCAGAGTTCCCGCGGGCGGGAGGGATGGGCCTGTCAGAATAATTCTGCAGGCTGGCAGGGAACAGAACCCATGACTCAGAGATAAGCAGGAACTCTGCCCCGTTGACAAGGAGGCTTGTTAGGCTGGGCACTTTATCCAGGGCACTGTGTGGGGAGAATTTGCAGTTGTGCTGATTTGGATGAGTGTCAAGGCAGCACTTGGCCTTGAACTTGAGTTTCAAGCATTTATCAGCACATGCCTCTGTAGACAGAGAATTGAGTGCACTGTGCAAATGCATAGATTCTTGCTGAGAAACAGTCTTTGTTAGTGATCAGTGGGCATAGGCAGTCTCCTGCTTCTTGGGTACTGCTGCCCTGAACTTGAAATCTGACTTCCCTCTGAATCTTCTGGAGGTGTCACATCGAAAAGCCAGCCACAGCTGGGTTTCTGGCTGCAGTCTCTCTGACACCAACCATTGTTTAACTTTCTCAAGGCTTAATCGCTTCCACAGAGACCTTTTTTTAAAAAATGGCAATTTTTGAGGGCCAGAGGGCACCGCTGTGACCTCCGCCGGCCAACGCTGCTGTTATGTTGGCTGCGGTGAGCTTTGCCCACATGTCACACCCAGGTACTGTGCAGTCACCCAGCACTAAGTGTTTGGGGAGGGGGGCACTGCTGGGTCCCTCCGTGAAACCAGAGAAGCCCAAGGGCCAGATTTAGACAGCAGCTTGAAAGCAACCAGTACTTTCTGTCTTTTTGCCATCCGGCTGTATTTTGAGGCTGCGTTCACCCTCTCATTGAGGAAAGGAGCCTGCCCGAGGGCAGCTGTTACCAGCGAGCAGGAAATCTCTGACTCATGTAGAGAGCAGGCTGTGATTGTGGGGCTCTGTGTGACCAGTCTCCAGATCTTTCTCTGCTAAGGAGCTGCCCTGTCTCCAGTGAGAAGGAGCTGCTCCGGAACAGTGGAAGCATCCGTGCATCTCATCCTCTTGCTCCCTCGCTGGACTCTTTCCCTCCTCCTTGCTGAGTGTTCTAGGTTATGACTCTACTCGCTGGGACACACCCTCAATGGAAGGCAAGAGAAGCAGCGATAAAACCTAGCTTTAAACTTATTGCAATGCTGTGTTGGTTACTGGAAATTTGCTGTGAGAGTGGATGTCAGGTGTTCTCACCACACAAAGTCAGGTGAGGGATATATTTATGAACTTGATGATAGTAATCGCTCCAAGGTATCATGTTGTATACCTTGAATATATACCACTGTTGCTTCATTTTTAAAAGGGTGT